GGCTTTTAGGCCGCTGTGGAAAAGTATTTATTTCTGCATCTTCAGAAATCAATCAAATCAAAATCCACCAGTTTTTCGCTGGTTCGATTCGTTACCAACATTAAAAGGAGCAGCTAAAACGCATCCTTCTATACCTACATAACCCGAATTGTTTCACCATAGCAGAAAGACGTCATTGCACCCTGTCAATGTCACGCGATTAATTATCCGCTAATGTCACCGTGGAAAAAATTGGCCCATGTTATTGCAACCGTTTAATGATAATTCGAATAATTATTGCGCCAAGGCCTTAACGAAAAAAAAATGATAAAAATAATAAGAAACCAACCGACGAGGTACATAATTATTAATGGGAACAAACAACATTTACGCGTTTCTACACTTCAAGCACATAACCGTTAGAATGTCACAATGTCAGAGGTAAGCGCAAATGGCGACGAAAGTGTCAAGTGTGTTTGACTACCAATCGGCATTTGTTTGAAATTAGCCAACCAATCGGATGGTGGCTTTAATTAGTCGGGCACTGGCTGCTGCCGTTCGGCTCCAATTTCAAAATGCCTGATCACGATCCAGAACCGGAGTTGAAACTTTTCAGGAAAAAAGCGGCGAAACGGCGGTCTGCCAATTGCGCTTTGTTCTCTCTTATAGAGTATAAAGCGCAAGTTTTACTTTAAATCAAAATGTCCCCAATTTGTGCCGAAACGTTGAAACTTGCCTGATTTTATCATAGATATAATTTTCTCTTAAGCGTTTCGCAGCAGAAAAAGTTTCACTTTTAATGCAATTTGACATACGACAAATGACTACACGTCCGGATAATTTGGCTCTGGATTCAAATTTCCCAATTTTTAACCGAAATTTGAAACTTGCTCACCCACATCATCATATTGCTTAGGCAAAAAGACCCATTGCATGTCACTGCAAATTGACACATTGTTCCCAAGTTGTCATCAATTGACAGGTGACACTTTTGGCCACCTGTCAGTCATAATGCAGACATCAGAACGCTGTTGCAATTCGCATCCACAGTCAAGATATTCAGCAAGTAGAAAAATAAAATAAAAAACACTTGTGCCTACGCCAATGGCGCCTGTTCTCGGCGGCGGCCATTTTTTACCCGGCAAGGCCTTTCTAGATGGAAAGGTTGCGTAACCGGTCGCCAGAGATCGGCCGAGATCGGTGCCCCCTCGAGTGACAGGTACCTTTCGCAATGAAAGTACCGCAATCCGCTAGGCTACTTTTACATCGGCTCGAATTCCGGCCGAGCGACTGAAGCGGAAGAAGTGGCCAACTTCAAGATCAATTGAAAGCATTTAACTACTCGATTGATCAGCTTTCTTCACCAGCCTTCACTTAAATGAAGTTGAACACTCTATGTGACAGGCCTGTCAATACTGTAAACAAATGTCAATTGCCAAGCATGCGCGATCTGGTGACTTTGACATAACGCTGATCTATTATTTGACAGCGTTGGCAGGTTTCCACCGATTAGCGGCGGCGTTGTTCTTTCAGCTGTCAAGGGAACCACTCGCTTAAGGACCCATAAGTGCTTGACGCAACGCTGTTTGGGTATGGAGGGAGGGCATTACAAAAACATGTGTTTCACATAATCTATTACAATAACACATAATTGCATGTAATTTTTTTCTGTTATTGTTGGCATCAGCCCGGCCATAGCTGGACGACTCTTTGAACATGTCACTTATGTTTAATTATCGGTAAGGTACAAGGACGCCAGCCTATGGCCG